CTGCCGGGACCCCCGGGGCCACCCGGCCCCCCCGGCACGCCCGGGGCTCCAGGGACGGTTGGCAGGATGGGCTTCCCCGGCAAAGATGGCAAGGACGGCAAGGATGGGGATAAAGGCGAGCACGGCGATGAAGGTAAGAGAAAAGCACTTCTTAACACAAGGGTAAAGTGTAAAAGCAATAGTGCACAGCCCACTTAACAGCAGCCCGTCACCTCAAACCCGAGCCCCAGGACAGACGACATCTCAAAGGTAACTCTTCTAGAAATTTCCACTCTCCCCGCTCCAACATCTCACACTTGTTAGCTCCTGCCAGGGGGGGTCAGACTCACGTTATTTGCTGATAGCATCTTAATGCTGCACGTTTTTTTTTTTTGTTCTGATACATGCTCTCTAGACGAGAAAGCGGTGGCCTCTGACTCCTGCTCTCAAGCGAAAGGGTCAGGTGAAAACGTTAAATACTTGCTCCCTGGAGCACTCTAGCTGGGTGACAGGCACTGCTCTGACCATGCTCAATCTATATCAAAGCAAACAACAACCCTTCTTTAATCCCGAGGTGGGGGCTCTTACATCCACCCTTACAGGCAATAAGCATCAGGACCAGCTATGGTGGGAAGAGCATGATTTCCCGTTGCCACGCTAGAGCGCACTCCTGATTCAGCGTAACACCAGCGTGCCAAAGCTGCATCTTATTCTCTTCTCCCACCCCCAAAACAGGGCATCTGGAGAACAGGTTTCCACCCACAGCTGCATTTAAATCTAGAGTTGCTACAGCAGGTCAAGAGACAGTATATAAATCCCCATGAATTTGTCATATATCAGACACTACCGCAATCAGCACTGATCTGCAGTTTCAGCATCACCGTGACAGCCCAACTCGCCTCCCATCCTATGGCAGTCCCTGCACTGGGCGTCTTCTGGTTCATGACTGGTTCATCCCCCAGTTAGGCTGGGCTTTTTACCACACCGAGATTTTTTTTTTTTTTAAACAACAGTTTCATGTTAAATGTTTAAAAAAAAAAAAAAAAGGAGATTAAAAGTACTCCATCTGCTCAAAGCCTCAAAGCTAGGTTCCAAAAGCTTCACAAACCTGTCCAGCTTCTGAAAAACCCAAACGTTTAAAGCTTGTTCTTGGCTAGCTTTATAATTAATTACTCCTTTTCTAGAGTGAGCCAGATAACTGAACCAGCCTTTTGGTGCTTAAAAGGGCCAGACTGTCCTGCTCCCAAGTCCCGCTGTTATCACACCAACTACCTACCTAACCTAGGTAGTCCTGGCAGATGTCCAGCCCCAGGTGGTATTTCATTGGGATTCTCACCAGCAAGGTTTTCCTCCTAAACAAAAATATACTGCTGCAATGATACAACCCCTTTCCGCTTGCCATATCATCTCTTTCACTGAAAAATTTACAAGGCTATTTGTCTTCTAGGTCCACAAGGCAGAACAGGAAACCCCGGCAAGCCAGGACCAAAGGGGAAAGCAGGAGCTATTGGCAAGGCAGGCCCACGAGGGCCCAAGGGTTTAAAGGGTAATCCTGGAAAAAACGGGGCACCAGGAAAGAAAGGTCCCAAAGGGAACAAGGGCGAGACCGGGATGCCAGGACCCTGCACCTGTAACACCAACAAAGCCAAATCTGCCTTCTCTGTGGCAGTCTCAAAGAGCTACCCAAGGGAAAGGCTGCCCATCAAATTTGATAGGATCCTGATGAACGAGGGAGGACATTACAATGCTTCCAGCGGGAAATTTATATGCAGCATCCCAGGAATTTACTACTTCACTTATGACATCACTTTGGCCAACAAACACTTGGCCATTGGCTTGGTCCACAACGGGCAGTACCGGATCAAGACTTTTGATGCCAACACTGGGAACCACGACGTTGCCTCTGGATCAACCATCCTTTCCCTGAAGCAGGAGGATGAGGTGTGGCTGCAGATCTTTTACTCAGAACAAAATGGGCTCTTTTATGATCCCTACTGGACAGACAGCTTATTCACTGGCTTCCTGATATATCCCGATCAAGATTATCTCAATGAAATATAGGATGAGAAACTAGCCTGTGGGAAACAGCAGGAAGTGCATGAGACCTCAGTCCAGCAAAGTATAGCCTGTACATGGACATGTGTGGGATTATCATACAATTCCACATTTTTGGCACTAACAGCCTGTTTTGGCTATTTCAATATTGACTTGATGTCATCAACTAGTCCACAGGGTACCAGGACCAGTAGGACTCACCTTTAAGCAGCCTCATGAATCTCTAAATGTCAAAGCCACCCATTATGTTTTCCATGATGATTCCAATGCTCCATGTAACTCAAATACTGGTGCAGAATGCTTTGATTATTATATTATTATTACAAAGCATCGAAGCCAACAACAGCTTCCTGAAATCTGAGCTCAGAAGCGCCACTGATGCTGGAGACCCCTTCACTGCACCTCCTCCCCCTACACCCCACAAGAGTAATAATCCGTGTTAACAGAGTTACACTTTACCAGCTACTTCAGAGTCGGGAAGTTGTCAGCTAAAGTTGTAAGAGTAGCTCTCAGCCTCATCAAAGCAGTATTAATAAACAAAGGCATCTGGTCAGAATAGGAAATGACACAAAGAGCGAGCTCGTTTCTACGGTTAAAGGTAAGACTCCTGGTAAGACACAAGCTGCTGCACTGAGCCCCACCAGCGCCGCTCAGATTTCAGCCTCGATCTACCAGCGCTGGAGTCCTGCGTCTGGTTTCGGACAAGCGTTGGTAAGCGGTGACCAGAGAACTGGACTGTGCAGGCCAAATACCTGCGGGCCTCCGAGCCACGGTGGAGGATGAACATTACAGATAAGACTCAACTGTCAAAGATAGTGTGAACCTTCACTCTGGAAAGAGATTCATTGATAACCTTCTCCCTTCATCCCTGCCAGCTTTTGCTGGAAGGAGATACTTGTGGTGCTGCCAAGATCCTCCCCAAGGGCTTAATGCTCCAGCCTGACCCTATCTTACTGCTGCTTTGCTTTTTTGATATTGTATGTCAAATATTAGAGATGCTAAAAAAAAAAAAAAAAAAAAAATCAATGTTTTGGTTCTAAACTGTATAGAAAAAACCCCCCAGAAAAGTCAAAAGCTGAACTTCTGCTCAGCTGAGCTTTTTTGCTTTTGCTAAACTGAGCTTAGCAATTTTTTTACCTCCTCCATATCAGCTAGTGCAGGGCCACGTTCCAAACAGGTTCATTATTACCAGAGCAGAGAGTTCTGCTAGAAAGCCGCTCGCTCAGCCTGGCTGCCTTGCCCCAGCGCTCCTGTAACACAGAGGTCTCTTCCTCACTATCAGATGCATCTTCTTGGTTTCCAGTCATATTTCTCATCTCTTTTATCACTTGGTGAAAATGCTCATGAACTTCCAGCTCCCCTAACCCTCATATTTAGGCATTGAAGTGATATCCCATAAGAACAAAGATTTTTTTTTAATCTTACTTTTACAAGTCATAATATTTGCATGATTTTTGTAAACTACAGTAATAGTGATACGTCTTACAAAAATCTTTTCAAATACATTTTATAAAATAAAGTCAAACAAAAGTACTGCTGGAATAGTGGTGGTATTTATAAGAGTGGCTTCCCAGAAGTTATTTCAAAACCGTGTTACAGATTCCACAGACACTGCTGGGTTTAGCGATAGATTTTGTAGGGGTGCGTGCAGCAAGCTGGGGAACGCAGAGTTTTCTGCTCTCTGTGCAAGAAAACCTGCGAGGTGGAAGAACAGGATCGGTCCCTTCCCCTGAAGCTGCAGATGTCCTTTCCCCGACAGCGGTTGCTCCGATAACGTATCTGTCTTTCCAAAGCTCCCTCATTTAGGGCGCCTGGGGTGCATTTGCAGGGAGGTTCCAAAGGCAGCGGCAGCTCAGGAATTGCATTTCTCCCCAAACGCCCAGCCCCGCGCTCCCACCCCGACAGCCTGGGGGGGGAACAACCATCTTTTGGCTGGGCCGGGTCACACGCAGGGCTCTGCCCCAACACGGCTCCCCCAGCAACCGTAGGTGTGAGGGGCAGCTCAGGGGAGGTGGTGGGACACACGGCGGGCTGTTGCCTCTCCACACCACCACCCAGCTGTGCTGCACCCAAATGGGAAATGATGTAGTACGGCTTGAATCAATCCAGCAGTGCTCGCAGTCCCCCGCTGCCAAGAGACACCTTGCTTCCCTCCGCAGTTCTTTCCCCTTGATTCAGTGCATTACCCATCCCCAGAAGCGGGTATTTGGGGGTGGGGCTTTTTATGGTTTGGGTTTTGGGGTTTTTTTTGTAGTCAATTTAGTTCTGCACTGATTTTATGAGCTGAACCCACCTGACACCAGGTAGGTACCAGGGCTGGGAGGGGATGGGAGAGCACCACAGGGAATAAGCCCG